TCTCTCTCTCTCTCTCTCTCTCTCTCTCTCTCTCTCTCTCTCTCTCTCTCTCTCTTTGGCGCTCTCTGTCGTTTTGGCTGGGTCGAGTGGACACAGCCGCTGCTGCGCGTTGTGAGAGAGGTCGGGCAACATGGCAACTGATAGAAAAGGATCGGGCGTTTTGGGTGCGGCGGAGTGATTGCAAGCTTTCATGGCCCAGAATAGCAGCAACAGCTGGCAATGGCTCCGTTGATTTCGTTCATGGGTGTTCTTTTCCCCAGATGTTTGATGATTGGAAATGCAAAGTATCAATATCACTCGAGCAGAGCAGGTTTTCGACTGGCACATATTTGGTCGGTGAATGGTTGCTGTGTGCTCATGTCAGGTGAGGTAACAGTCCTCGCGATGCATTGGAAGACGTCAGCGAGTAGAGACGGGGACCTCTCGTGCCTTCCTGTCGGCAGCTGAGTTGTTTTTTGAGCAGGCGGCTCTCCTTCCTCTGTTTGACGTCTGGGTTGCCTAGGCCGAGCAGTCACGCATACCTCTCTCCTCCGACAAGGCATCTGTCGTTCCCTTCCGGCTTCTTCCCACGTCGTCTTCCCACGTCGTCTTCCTCGGTTGACGCAGACTCCACAGCGCATCTTCGACGGAGACGCAGGCCGCATGCCAACGGGCGCAACAGGCACCTACTCTGAGATTCCTTCGTACCGCTGACGTTAAGCCGTCAGAGACATCAACCTGCCTGCCTCCTGCGCTTCTCACCCATCTTCATAACTTGAGAGCTCCCAGGTCATGGCATCCGACACATGCATGAGCTCGGCTCACGTAGCCATCGAACGCGGTCCCATTGCCGACATCTCCGACTATCGCCCGACAGTTGTCGCCGACCCTAAGCCCATCTTCCACAGATATATTCATAACGATGAGGCAATGCTGGCGGGTTATCTTGGCTTCGGCCACAGTCTCTGCAACCTGCGCACCATAGCCGTGAGCGGCCCAGTCTTAAAATACGTGCCTGCCGCTTTCGCTCTCCTCGGCGTCCCAGAGCCTGGGTGCAAGCCTGGCGACAAGACTCGCGAGGAAGTTGCCTGCATCTGGGCGCTTGCCTTTCTCTTCAACGAAAAGACCCGCTCTGTGCTACCCGACACGCTCCAGAAGATCCAAGACAAGTACAAGATATCTTGGAGTGCCGTCCGCTCTCCAAAGGCCCAGAAGGAGCAGCTCGGTGACCCCAAGCGGCGCGGCCAGATCCTCGCTTCTGTCCTGTTGGCCATGCACCGCGACATCCTCGCCGCGCAGCAGATGCCTCCCGAGCAGTTCGAGTCCACCTTTGTGCCTGCCATTGTGGCTCTCGAAGATAACAACCCATGGGGTGCTCCAGTCTACATGCTGCCCATGATGCCGGGGGACAAGATCACCTGGCCTGATTGGGGTCCCATCAAGGGTCACTGCGGCTGCAAGGATGTGTGCGAGCCGCTCGAGGAGCACGAGGTTGAGGTCTATCATCGCTGTCTGAGCCTGATCCGCTACACCATCTACCAGCTCGAGCCTACCTACTTCTACAAGCACCTCGGCAAGTATATGAAGAACCAGCTGGACGGCCAGGTAGCTCTCGTCGCCGTCGCCAGAGTCAAGAGAGAGCAGATCGAAGAGGTCGCCCAAGCCCGCGCCAAATTGGTCGAGCAGCAGTGCAAGGGCAAGCCTAATGCCAAAGTCGCAGGTCCGGCGCAGGCCTCTCCCGCCTCCCATATCGACGAGCTGGCGCATTGGCTCTCGAGTGGAATGCGCGGAAAGGTACCTACTGATATCCTGCTAGAGTTTCAGAGCAATGTCAGAAAGGTCTACGAGATGGCCATCGAGCAGTACCCAGAGGGCGACTGGACCGAACAGGAAAAGAGGCTCATGTCGGAGAGCTTCACCTGGATGGTGACCCACGGTGCGGGAGGGCTGTCTGGCCCGCCTCACTGGACCGACGAGGAGCGGAAGATGTACGCTGACCTCCACCAGCCCTTTGCCTTTCCGCAGGGTGCCAACGTCAAATTTGAGGTGAACCAGGCGAACGAGTACCTCGGTGCCTTGGTCGATTACATGAGCAAGGTGAAGCTTGCCGATGAGCAGGTGATGAAAGCCATGTCGGAGAAGCAGAAAGCGGCCCAACGCACCCAGGAGGCCACGGCCAAGTCGAACAAGGCCCATCACCACCAGCACACCGAAAAGTCGCGCCTGCAGCAGCACCAGGAACTTCTTGCTCGCATGGAAGACGTCGACTGAGTGTCATGGACCACATTCTCGCCTGAGGTGAAGCGGGGAGTGGAGAGGACCTCGGAATCACCACAGATGTTCAGGCAAGGTGTTTTGCAAAAGTCAAGAAATTGAAATTGGGTGAACGAGCGCATAATCTTGCTTGCAGGAAGAAAACACATAGTCTACGACCACGTCAAGTGGCTAGCAGTCTAAAGCACACTTCCCTCTCAAGAACTCTTCTCTTGCGAAATGAAACAGGCAATACGCAAGAACAGACCCAATCGTAAGAAAGCAACGCCATTCACCACCTAGCCCGTATATCCCTTAAGCTCGTGTCATCGGGCATAACACCGGCACCGGCATGGCGCTCCCTCTAGCTCCTCCCTACGTCGGCCTTCCAGTCCTTGTCATCATCCACGTTGTTGACGACGCGCGCCTCCAGGCGGCCGCCGGTCCACTCACGAATGCGTTTGCCGTAGATGTACATGGCCGGCAGCAGCAGGGCGACAGCCGCCAAGGCGCCGCTGTAGATACCAAAGTTGACCTCGAACCCTAGGTCCTGGATCCAGTCCGTGACACGGAACGACATGGCGAAGCCGATGATGAGGCGAATGGAGGAGACGTTGACGAGGACGGGTCTGGAAGTGCACGTTAGTATAATGGTCTTTTTGTATAAGAAAAAGGTAGCGACAGAGGGGCGCTTCGAGGCAGAATGCCGCAGAAAGAAGCCAAACGGAAAAGGGGGAGACTCACCCTGCAAACTGAGGATAGCTCTCGACGAGATAGACGGCAAAGATGGTGTTCGCGGTCAGGAAGCCGAAGCCGATGAAGAAGATGGCGACGAGAACGACAATGCTGGGCAGGGTGCGGATGTTCTGCGCGGCGTAGCCGAAGAGGAAGGCGCCGACGATGCCGGCGACCAGGGGGAAGATGAGACTGATGAGGTGGGCCTCGGGCTCGCGGCGGCCGCCGTTGCGACGGGCGTGGGCGTTGGAGATGAGGTCGGCGACGTAGCCGCCAAAGACCCAGACAAAGGGGCTCGCGATGACGAGGGGCACGACGGCGAAGCCGAGCTTCTCGAAGTCCCAGCCGGCGGCGATGAGGACGGAGGAGCCGACCTGGCCGGCGGCGCCCTGGATGGAGACGAGGAGCGAGTTGATGGCGATGACCCAGATGACGTTGGGGAACAGGGTCGTCTTGAGCGTCTCCCAGACCGACTTGGAGGCGAGATTCCACTCGGTGCCGCAGTGCAGGATGCCAAAGTCGGTCTGGTTTGTGCGCGGGCCAAAGGCTGCCACGTCGAGGCGGGGACGCGTCTCACCTGGCTGCAGGAGGTAGACTTCCTTACCGGCTGGAGGAGGGGACTTGAAGTCAGCCTGGGCACGAGATGGGAGAGGGCGCACTGGGGGGTGGCATAAACGTACCAAGCTCGTCGGCGCTGCGGACCCATCGCGTCTCGGGCACGAGGAAGATGATGCCAATCCAGGCCACTATGGCAACACCCGAGGTGAGATAGTAAATGAAACGCCAGTCGAGCCTGGCTACGATGATGGGGCTGCCAGAAGGTCAGATGCCTGAGAGAAACCGACCCATGCTAGACTTTCTCACCTGGCAATGCCCAAGCTGACAATGATCAACCCTTGAGATGCGCCAATGGAAGCAATGGCTTTGTTGCGCTGATGGATGAACATGAAGTCCTGCACAATCAGCGGGATCAGCGCCTCCACGGCACCGGCACCCAATCCCTGGAAGCAGCGAGCGGCGATATGACTGTTGAGACTCGTCGAGAAGCCAGCCCAGAGACCGCCAGTCCAGGCACACGCGCCGGCGAGCAGAAGCACGGGACGACGGCCGATGGCGATGGAAAGCGGCACGAGGAAGAACGAGCTGATGCCATTGACGAGCAAGGGCAGCGAGGCCAAGAGCGCAACCTTCGACAACGGGGGTCCGCCCAGGCCGGAGAGGATATCAAGCGGGTTGAGATTCACCTGGCCAGGAGGAACGAGCAGGCTGATGTCGATCTGCGCGAGGATCTTGGGATCAATGCCTGTGTACTCGAGGACAAAAACAGGGACGAGGGCGCCGACGATGGCTTCGGCCGCGAGCGCCAGCGCGCCAACTATCGATTCGTCAGTTCTCCACCGTCATTTTCGAGTGTTGACACTGAGCGGTAAGCATCTAGATGGACTCACAGAAGCAGAGAGCGCCGATGGCGAGCCATTTCCTCCAGTTTGGCAGATTCAGGGGGTCCTTGGGATCCGGCGTGGGCATAGGAATGTACCGGATCTGGCCACCCTCGAAGAGCTGAGTCGTCCCTACCACCAGGGCATCGGGAGACTCAATCCTCGCTAGTGGTGCCAGCTTTTCAGTCGACTCTGAGAATCTCTGGTTGTAGTTCATATTCGCGGCCCTGATGCGGGTCTGTCGGTGCGGTGCCGCTAGAGCTGTCCGCAAAGATGTGCAGTTGCAAGGGCGAGTCTAAGAGTCAAAGAGGAAGAGAAGCTTCAAGTACTTTTGGGGACACAACTCTGTAATTTCATTCTTTAGAAAATGGAAAGCATACCATGGAAACGAAACAAAGGGGAATGGCAGGGTTGGCTGCAGGGTACGAGGGAACGACGTGAACTTAAATGACCTTGTCCGCGGTTCAGAAACTTTAGCAGACAGTAATCCCTCGATTGACGCTCCATCAGACACATCTGTCATGGCGCTAGGTCCTCGGAGCCGTTGCTCGTAGTGTAGATTTTCGAGACGAGCTTGTTGACCAAGAGTCTCGCTGCAAGTCGAATGAGGAGTCATTCTGAGACGGGTGCCGTGATGGGTATGACTTGAGGCTGTCTGAAGCGCACAGAAGTTCGGACGAACAAGGTAAACCCCTGTAGTTGAACGTCCAGATTGAGGAAACTCTTGCGATAACGGTATCACGGAGGTTTGTATGCTTTGGACGTAGTAGTATCCGGTGGGTTCCCAAGTCGCGGCTGCTACCCAGCCATCCTAGTGACGCATCATCAACGGGTTCAACGACAGGGAACAGCCCTCCCAGTGGACTTCCTCACAAGATTGCTGCTGACGTACGAGAGGCCAACAAGGAGGGGAAAACACTAAACAACTGACTCGAGGAACAAATGGTACAGAACTCTACTCGCGCGATCCACGCGGACGCCACGACTTCGAGATGCGTAAACGGTCTCGGTAGGGAACAATGCAATATCGTGTGCGAGCACGGTCAATGAGCAAGGAATACTTCGCGCCAGCCCCATCCCACGCCTCCTCAAGGAGAGCAAATCGTCAGCTGTGGCGAGCGGCTACCGCACACGCCGTTGGAAGTTTTGAATTCCTTCCATGCGCACGAGACAGTCTGGGGTGGTACGGATGAAACGGTTCAGGGGGTCACGAAAGTCGTGGCTCGAGCTCTAGACTTGGCTTCGACTAGCCAGATCGGCCGTGCTCGCAAGCCTGCTGGAGTCGGATCTGGTCCCACTTTGACCTTGAAGGAGATGGTCTGATATTCAACGGTACAAACGCGGCCTTGGTGGTTGTCTCGACATCCCAGAATAGCCAAGACCCGTGAGCCGAGTGGGACGCCATGCTGGCAACATGTCACTTTCGATACAGCAAGATTTGGTTCCATGCGTCCAAGCTGTGCATGCTGAGATTCTGGCACAACTACGACAAAACATTCCGTCTCTTGCCCGATTCAGTTTCGGCGCTCATCCGTGGTATAAGATTCAGCCCCTTCCTCCATGACTCCAGGTCCCAGAAATGATTAACTCCGTCGGCCCTCAGCCGAGGTACGTTATGTCCAAGTGATCCTTTTTCATGAGCATTGTAAGGATTGGTGTCCAAAGAGAGACTTCGTTTGCAGTTCGGCGAGTGAAAGAGTTCGCCGATCAAGAACAAGAAGCGACGATTGCCACTGCGTGCGATGCGTCGTCCCGAATGCTGTAGTCGCCATTCCAAGGCGGAAACCCAACAGCAACATATGCAAGACTATCTTTGTCTTCGAGCTCGTTTCTCAGAACCTCGAGGCGCAGAGACCAAACACGAAGCATCATGCGCTTGCGCTCACTGAAGACCTGGGCGAGCTCTTCTTCTTCTTGAGCAAAGTCGCTCCCGAGCGCCTCGAGTTCCTGTTCCTTCCGGTCCGTTAGCTTCTCCAGCTCGTTTGCCTGTCGTTCGAGCAGCTCTTCCATGCGTTTGGCCTGTCGGTCGCGCAAAACATTGATCTTGGACTGGTGCAGCCGCGCCATGCCGTCTCGTAAATTGTACTGCTGACCAAGCTCCTGCAGGTCGCGTTCCGTCACAACGCGCTTGGGGAGCTCTGAGTCGAGACCATGGCCTAGGCCTTCGCAGTATGCCTCCATGTGCTTCAGTCTGATTTTAACACTGTTCTCGCTCTGCTGGAGAGTCATTCGGAGCTCCATCTCGGCCTCAATCTGTCGTTCGTCGAGGTGTGAGGCGGTCTTTGCGTGTCGTTCTTCCATCTTCTCCGTCTGATCTGTGTGTCTAGCCGCTGTAGCAGCCTTCTTTTCGCCGTGCCGCATCTCCATGTGCCACCGCTTCTCATTGACGAAGTCCTGAAACCGCTGCCTCTGAGCCAACACGTCGGCTTGTAGAGCCAAAAATGCAGGATGCTCGTGCATGCGGCGTTTGGCCTCTGCGTTTTGAGCGGCCTCGGCCGCCGCCGCGGCGTCTCGTGCAGCTTTCTCGGCATCCAGCTCTGCAGTCCGAGCTTCCTCCTCGATTTGTCTCCTTTCCAGCTCTTCTGTTCCATCGCAAAAGTTGGGACAGCCAACGGTCGGATTCCATATGGCACCGCAAATATAACAGAATTGGGCTTTGCAACGGCAGGTCATGTGCGTGCAGCCTTGTGCCAGTTCTACCAGAGCGCGGCACTTGTAGCACCTCCTCCATCCGGATTTCTCGCCCATTTTGAGCACTTCGTTCAGTTCCCAATCTTCCGGGCATTCCTTCCCAATAGGGTGGGCGTTCCGCTTGCACATGATGCAGACTCTTGTGTCGCAATTCCTACACTCTACATCGAATGGATGTTTAGGGTCAAGTTTGCTGCGTGGGGGGATAAACTCGCTGCAGGCAGCATTCGGACAGAATATCCTTGCATCCCATGGAGTAATGAACTGTCGGACTGCCTTGAGAAAGAGATGTCGTTCCTCGGGTGTGAGGAGGTCTTTGAGGATAGAGCTTGGTATTGGCTGCGTGCAACACCTGGGTGGAAATTTGGACTCGTCTGTCGCAGCTTGTTGCACCACGACCTTCAGACATTGGCCGCAATACGCGTGACCACAGGGGAGGTCGTATGATGACGAGGACTTGTCGAAGTCGTCGCGACAGCAGATACACGCACTTGGGTTTCATTAAGTCAGCGATCACAGGACTCAACAAGGTTATGGTGGCAAGCGAGGCTCACATGGGACGGTCCAGGCCGCTTGCAGCCTTCTTTTTGCGTCGTATCCTCCGTAGGCCTTCCTTAATGTTGATGAAGCTTCTCCGCGTGCTGACACTAAACAAGCTCTGTGCCGAGTTGTCGGGCAGCTCAACTGAGTGTGATTTCAGAAATTTGGGCTGGTCGAGATTCGGGTCGATTTGTGTGAGGTATCGATCGTAGTAGGTAAAGCTCGTGTTCTTGGCTCGCTTTGCAGAATCGACTCTCAGCGATGCCTCTGAATCGTTGTTGTCAACAAGGAGAGAGCGCGAAGTTAGTGCCGTGCTCGCGGAAGCAGACGAGGTGGAGGAGAAGGTGCGCGCATGGTAGGTAGCGATGGTCGAGCCTTGCGACTCGGCGCTAGAGGTGTTGCGCTTCTGATCAGTTGACAGCATGTGCTCTGGAAGTTTGATGCCCAACGAGGCTGCTTTAGCGAGCAGATCCCTTTGGAGGGAGGTTTGAGCCTCGGGGCCGGAAAGGTGGAGAACATGGTTGAAGTAGTCAGTGTCGTTGAGTTCGGGCGGACTGGTGGTGTCGTCGGTGGCGCTGGTCGTGGCATCGGTCGGCGAGGTGAACACGCCAGCGAGCGACCCCATGGTGCGCTGCGATGCGCTACGCCACAGGCCCAGGTCGCGAGTTTTTGGATCTCAGGTCCGAAAGGACGGCAATATCATGCTGGTCCTGGACCAGAGAGACGCAGCAACGTTGGTTTGGGGAGCGTTTTCGCGGTGCAGCGGCCAGGCAATGTTGTTGTTGTGGTTGATGAGGCCGCTGCTCGGGCCTTGGACGAACGGGTATGGAACGGCGGTGCAGGGTCAACGGCGTGGCGGTTACAGCTTGACGGCGGGTAGTTGAGGGTAGAGACCGAATTGTGAGACTGCGTCGCAGAACAGGCGCGGTGAGCGATGGACTTTCGCTGCTAGAAAGCCGCGATTGAGGAATATGCGAGTCAAGAAAAAAAGAATAGGTTGGAAGATGAGAAGACGAAGACTTGCACGATGCTTGGAAGAAAGAGGGAAAGGCAAGATATGGTGACAGGTCACTTGTGACCAGCAATCATCAGCCGAGTCGAATCGTGTCGATTCAGCGAGAGTGAGCGAGCCAGTAAAAGTCAAGTTGATACCGCCGCTGGTACCAATCTAGTTGAAGGGCGAATGCCTGGATCGACGGGGGTCGTGGCCGATCCTGAGGAGACAGTGACCGGGGGGGTGGGGGCAAAGGCGGCGCACTGCCGTCAAGAAAAGTAGACTGGGTCGTTTGTTGGACGGTCTGGTCTAGTGAACGGACGGGCGATGGCGAGAGGGATATCAGCTGAGATATAGTGGCAGACGTCCTTGTACTGCGACTGTCACGGACTAGGCTGGTCAGAAGTGAACACAAGGTCGTTCACTGCTCGAGGCGTACGAGGCAAGGGATTGGACTGTTGCCAGCAGTCGTCTCTTTCCGCCCACGGCCAACGGTCAAGAGCCGTTGCTGTCATCCTTTCCGCGATGCTGGTTCGGGGGAGACAATGCTGGAGGTTTGTGGGCTTCGGTGGTGGGGGGGGGCCTCTTTCTTGTCTCTCGTCTCGGATGCTCAGTAGCCGGTTGAGTCCAGGCTAGACAATAGCTGATGCGTTGCTTTTGGCGGCAAGACAGCACTTCACTGGTGCGCCCAAAAGGGGAACGATACTTGGACCGATGGACATCTCTATAGGGACATGATCTCGGCAACGTTGTCCATCCTCAGGCTCATCGACCATGCCAGATGTTGGGTTGGGGTGATGTACGCGTGATCGCAGGTGCAGGCAGGTGCGAAGGAGCGGAGCGACAAGTGGCAACTGCCACCCACCACACCACCAGCAAGCACGACCGACCGACCGATAGCGATGCAGCAACAGACAGGAAGCGGCGTCCCGCAAAGCAAGGAAACAGCCTTGGGCGAGCCCCTCATTGGTCATGCACTGCACATACGCTAGCGGGAATGCACCCTCTTTCGGGACTACCCTCGACGACCAAGCCCGTAGCTTGAAGCGGGAGGTCTTATGTAATCCCCCACCTGCCCCCTCCAACCACCATTGCCGCACCCTTGATACAGCGAGTTGCAGTCTCATCTCGACATCGCTAAGTTTCGACATGGGACCCCTTGGATGAGAGGGGAAAGGGGGCCCCCTTTTGCTGCCCGCCTAGTTTGACTCTGCTTTTCTTTACTGCTATTTGCCTTCAGGGCCGTCTTCGTGGTCCCTCTGGTACCATGTTGCGCCGACGAAAGAATCATATGACGCCTTGCCTCGATTGCCTTCCAAGTGCCTGAACCAGAGTCTTCGCCGTTTGAGTCTAGCGTTTGCTGCCCCGTCGTTCCGTCCCTCCCGCGCTGCCGACAGCGATGGCGCCGACTGATGATCCAAAAAAACAAAATCTAGCCAACAAACAGCAGGAGAGCTCCCCTTTGCTTGCTTTTTTCGATCACCAGAGTCAAGCCCCTCCGAAAACCGAAGAATGTCGCTGGGCATACTGGTATTCGTCATGGCCTACTGAAAGAAGACCGCCTTGCGAGTCAGTTGACGCCCGATGCGCAAACTTTGTGGAGAAAGATACTAGGAAGCAAGCAAACATCGCTCCCCCGAGCCTGTTCATGATGCGCCTTTGACACACTCATGGCGCGTTTGCCCACCCTCGCGACCACTAAGCTCCGCCGCCTCATATTCCCGGACCTCTTGTGGCGGAAATCGGGGTTTCCCTCCGCCTTATATGAGGAGCTCATGCCGGGAATCGTCTGGATGCCGCGGCCTTGGGCACCATGGCCGATGGGCAAACATCACATACGTGCCAGATCAAACATGGCAAGACTCGACCGTATTTCCGTCATGCGCCTTCGCACGGCAGAGTCAAACCCGTGGCTTGCGACAACTGCCGAGGAAGTAACATGGGGACTTAGCAAGCGGTGCGTTTCTAAGTTGGGGATGGCGTTACCGCGGGATGGGATGCCATACACGGCAAACCTCTGGCCGGACGACGGGCTACTTCGCTCAAGAAGTGAAATTTAAACCCCCCAAATCTGTACCTGGCATCCAACGCTACCTTGTGTTTCTCCTCGCTGGTCGTCACCTCGCTTCTTATTGATCTGTGCTTTTCGCTAATATCGCCATGTCTCACAAGACAAGTAGATCTTCATAAGCTCGGGATCTACCCAGATCACGCCAATAATGCGGCTGCCCGTGAGATTTGACGTGATTAACCTGCAGGTGGCGTCGACTTTCCAGACTGGAACCGTGTTTGCGCGTTTGATCTTACCGCCGTACCTTTGGTGGACAGGTTCATCTCGGCGGCCAGCCCTACCGGCCGGTCGATGGGCAACTGCTCGGATCGTTGGGTATCCGAGGCCTGGTCTCAAGCTTTCAGCTTGTCTTGTATGACCGCATACTTTGCAAAGCTGTGGATATTTGGCCTTTGAAGATCTGTCTACTGCAGTAATCTCGTATCTCTCGTTTGCTCTGGCAACCAGATGCAGCATTTGACATTCTGGAAGCGAGTGTGACGAGATACGGCTATTCGAGAAAGGATCAACTGGTTTGGCTTGAGTGAAATAAACTGGTATGTTTAGGTGTAAATCCGTAGGACATACACACCTTTGTGTCGTTGTCTCGATGCCACCAGTGCCTTCAACACCCAGATCATGCGTACACTACGCTACTGGTGTGAGGTTGACGTGAGGTTCCACATCATCAAGAATTTGATTCATACATGAGAAGTCTGAAGTGTGCATATACGTCTGTGGGTTTGGGGAGGATTTCGAAAGACTGGTACATTTCAACCCTCGAAAATCGTGGATCATGCTAACCGGGTATCGAACTGTGACGTGCTTTCGAGTGGTGCTTCCTTCTAGGCCATGCACGAAAAGAGGCGACTCTGTTATGAGATCCAAGTATGACAGCGACAGTCATTGCCATCATGCTTAGCTAGAGAAACACACAGCTAACATCCTGGTACGGTGGGCAGCATCGTGATCTTCGGCATACCGCGCTATAACATCTCGGCAGACCCTAGACACACGCGGCTGGAGACACTTGTTGATGCTGATTAACATTGCAATAGTAAGAGGACTGAATTTACAACACTGTAGCTGAGGTTCACCCACGACGTGATGAGATGCCATAGGGCTGATTGACCGTCACAGATAATCTGGTGCGGCCCAGGCAGCCTCTGCGAGCTCGAACAAAGGCGCCTCGACGTTGCTCCTGCAAACGTGACGACCAAGAACAAGGCGATGAAGTGATGAAAGAACCGGAAACCGAGTCTGGGGGATATTGAAACGCATAACCGGCGACATGGTGAGGCGCTTCCGACAGAAGAACCCCCCTTGAAATTATCGTACTCAAAAAGCAGACATCGTCACCAACATTGCGATAGGCAGGCGACCCGCCACTCAAGATATGTTCTGCTGCAGAAATGAGTGGCCATTCCCAAATCAAACTCTCGGGATCCCCTGTGTATGTTTACCGGGGTGCTCAAAGGATACATGAGCATGATGCCACCTCTGTCATTTCCTGTGGTCATACGCCCTTTCCCGCGCGGAGTTCCGCAGTGAGTATGAAGATGAATCAAAAACTCGCAGCATCGACAAAAACTAGGCCGTGCCAGCAGAAGCAGCCTTCAAAGCATTATGACCCGACGAAACAGCTTTCAGTGCCATGTCGACTCGACCAGTATGAACGTCTCGAGTCACGCAGGCACAAACGCCGTGTACAAACAGCACTGAAACCATGGAATCTCAACGACGTCGCCAACTCCAGCACAAAGATGTCAGGCGCAGGGCCACAAAGACGCGGTCCCATGGACATTGTTCATGTTGTCAGTCGCCGATACTACCAATCAGGCCGAACTGATGGGCGCCAGGCCACGCGATTTGACATTTTGGACGGGGTCTTATCAGGCTCGAATTCACGAGTGGGACAGCCGTCGGACCATGTTTCTGGAGTGCGTGATACGACTTGTGTGCTCCCCGTGTGCTTCGGTGGTACCTGTAGTACGACACGCATAGTGGTGTACCCTGTCTCTTCACCCTTCTGTCCGGACACATAAAGTGCACACCGCAGACCTTGTGAAAATTGAGGCTTTATGACAGAAAGACTAGCCAAGCATTGAAAAAAGATTCGACATGAAGACCTCATATGTTCGCACACTTGCCAGAAGAGGGAGAGGGGACATTGGCAGGCTACAGCCTTGTACGTTGTCCGACTTTGGCCACGCGCGGCCGACTCTTCGGTTCGACTTTTCACTTTGGTTTTTCACTGCCATGGCCTCTTTTCGCGACCGATATGCTGACATCCAGGATCCTGACGACATGAACTATTGGCAAGTCACACGTCAGCTGTCAGGTACAAGCTGGCGCGTCACTCGCATCCGCCGGACGTCTAGGCAAAATGACACAGATGATGAATATGTCAGCATGGTGTATGGCGCGGATGGAGTTCCCAAGCGAACCCCGCCCAATGCAATCCAACAGAGGGCACCTGTGGCGTAGCCGACCGAGCCTTCATCACCACTGTCATGAGGAAGCATTCTAGAAAAGAGGATCTGGCGATAACTGTGCAGGGGTGGCCCGTCATGCTTGGCCAGGCAGCAACGCCCAAGGCAACGCAGCCGGATGCTGGGTCCAAAAGCTTCGAGGACAAGCCAGCATGTCGGATGTGTCCTCATACATCGGTCTCCGGTGGCGGACTGTACTTGTCCCACGGGTCAGCTGCGATCTGGGCACGAAGCTGAGGTTGCCTGCCAAGAGGGCAAAGGTGGCGCGCACAAAGGGGCTGAGCCACGCACGCGGGGAAACCCCAACAAAGCATAATGGGTGTCCTGCCGAACAAGTCACCGAGGCTGGGCTTTGCGACGTTCGTCCTGCACACCAAAAGCGTCCCAAAACAGAGGCGTGGGAAGGTGGAGGTGCGTAACAGGTGCAGCCTCGACCTGACAAAGGCCGTGAAGCGGGTGCTGCCTAAAGCCGATGCTTCACGTGGAGGGTGAAAATGGTCACAGGTCAGTCAGGTCGTTGTGGGCTCGTCTTGCGTTGAGTCATCTTTCCAGCCCGCTTGCTGTGGGAAGACGTTCATTGGCCCGGTGTCGATAGATCTTCCCCTCGAGGCTAGCAAGGTCGCCAGCACAGCGCTGGAACGACTCGGACAATCCATGGGCCACGCACTCAGTGCCGAGGTCGGGTTTCCCAAGCTTTCTTCCAGCGAGAATTGCATCATGTCCGCGAGCAACATTAAACCGGACCTCTGCCGCCGTGGCGCAAGATCCGAGGCGTCGTCAAGAGACGGTGATAGGAATGCCTGCATCATCTCGAATCACTATTGTCGTCGAACAGGACGGCGGCCAATCAGACGCTGACGCGGAGCGGAGCGGGGCTGGTTCGGCGAGCGTGACATGGCGACAGTTCCGAGCTGCAAAATTCCTGCAGCTTCCTTGCTGTGAGGCCTTCACATCCGCTCTCGCTTGGGTTGGGCGCTGGCGGGTCTCAGTCAAGCGGTGGAGTCATACTGCCAGCGATGGCGGGCAGCTCGACACGCATCGTTTCAATGAGAAGGGCAGGAGGCCTGGTATCGTGCTGGGGCGTTGCTCCGTGAGCCGGAAGCAGTTCGAGGGTTTCGCAAGTGCCTGGGCGATGGCACAAGCGCCCGGCGAATGAGTCAAAAATGGCATTTTGCCCAAGTGATGACCATGGGAAAGACTCCGGCTCTCCGTGTGGCTGACGATGCGCCTTCAGTGGGTGAAGCGGATACCGCCAGTGGGGAGGCTTGAGGGAGGGGTGGTGCACGCCCGATCGCCTGCGTTTCGGGAGTTGCTGTTGCCAGTCAAGCCAGTGTAAGATCCCCCGCCAGTCTCTCCTCTCTCACTGCCTTGGGAAAGGAAGGCGGCGACGGTGCCAGCATAACGCCGTGAGAAGAATGTTTTGCCGCAGTTCAACAGGGATGGCTGCGTCAGAGCCCTTTTCCTAGACGCCTTGGGACATGCACCTTGGCATCATCGGCTCAGCCATCAGCTTCCCCGCCAAAAACGAGTGCAGGTCGTTCGTCAGGCATCGCCGCACATTCGCAACGCAGACCCAGCCTCGGCGGTCACGTTGATTCACACGAGAGGCGGAGTGCTTCGTAAGGCCTTGATGGGCCCACGCCGATCCATCATCGTCGTCAGGATATCGGGCATGAAGAAGCACGTTGAGCGTCTTTCAACGTGCAGCTGTGTGACACCGATCATTGCTTGCTATGATTCCGTACTCCGAAAAAACGAACCAATGTCCGGCGTCATTGTTCCCAAGATTGCCTGGAAGGCCCCTTTCGTGGCGAGATGGATACGATGGATGAAAGTGACGGCCGTCTTGGCCCAGAAAGGCAAGGTGTTCTTACCAATACGGCGTAATTGGAGGATTGGAAAGCGTCTCCTTTCATTGGCAGCAGCCGGACCATCCGGTCGTGGTTGGCACACCTCGTCGAACAATGGCACTAGAGAGCAGGTAGTCGTGGAGGTGGGTGGCCTGGCATGGCTCGACCGGGTGGCCCAGCTTGCCCAGGTGGGTGGCCTGCGAGCCTGGCCACGTATCGGCGAGTCGATTAGACTAGGTAGTCCTGGCCAGTGTCACGCATCGTCTCTAGGCAACAAGATGCTCGTGCTGCGGGATACATGTAGATGCTGCATTCAAGAAGAAGGCTGGCGTTTGATAGTAGAGTAGGCCTATCGACCGCAAGACATTAGGGGGCTCGAAGTCCAAGATAGACATGGCCCTGCCACGACCGTGAGGCTTGGCTTGGTGACTACAGTATACAGGCCGGACTGGCGGACTGCCCGAAGCGTGCAGCCGATGGCATGAGATGCGAGCCGTCGGACTCGTCGCGGATGGGCTCGGATGTCTCGAGTCCCCATGGCGCCTCAAGACGGGACGGGACCCGAAGCCGGTCCTTTCAGCACAGAATGTAAGAACAACTGAGCAGGTTTGAAAGGAGACGAGTCACTGGACCTTGTCACGATGAACGATACAGGGCCGACTGCCTGTTTGCCCTTCCAAAAGTCAGTGGAAAAGAGTCAGAACTGTACAGACGTGACTGTCATCTGGAGATGGAGGTACTGTGGGATCGAAATGGGCTTGCCGACAGCAACAGGACTGGGCGCAAGGGGCCAGGCGCCAGAGTGTGGCAGAAGGGGACAAGGGGAAAGGGCGAAGGGGGGGGGGGGACAGGAGCATGTCTGCAGCTGCGACTACTCGTCAACCACTCCTGTGTCGAGTGGTGTGCAAGGTGGATCAAACTATGGAGCACAATCTGCAAGTGTGAGCTGGACAGCCAATGGAATGGCGCTCAAGACCGGCCACGCTTTCCCACCCATCCTGTCCCCTCCCCTCCCCCCTCGCCTTGGAGGTGTGTCGCTGTCAAGAGCAGTTGCCAGTGCCCGCGAAGCACCTGCAACCCGAAACTGTTGCAGCCATGGTAAGTCGATGCCTTAGGATAGCGCCCTTCAAAACGAGTCAACCACCCACCCACGCGTGATGGATTTGCCTGCTGTCTCGTCCCCTCCCTTTTCCTCTTCATCGATCACAGCCGCCGCCATGTTCGATTCCAAGATCTAGGTCGATAGCGACTTGTTGAAGTCTGCACATCGGAGTCCTTTTTCTTCTCCTTCTCTCAACAGAGGTCAAGAGGAACAACGGACATCTCCACTCCTGCCTTTTGTTTGCCTATTCCGTCCCTCCATCTCTCTCCTCTCTGTCACGTCACTTGTGTTCCGAACACAGTCACAGGCGCAGACACAGTCACCCGGTCACGTTATACCTGCCCACTTCTCTCGCGAGCTGGCCCAGAACAACACGACTTGACACCAAAACCCGACGACTTGACACGGCACAGCCCAAGCAACTCTCGGTGCATCCTTCGCAGCGGCATTCACTTGTTCCTTGCGAAAATCCCGAGACTCACCTGTCCAGTCCTTGTCATCCACAGCCACTCATTGCCTGACGCAACTCACCGCGTTGAGCCGAAACCGACACGACAAGACAACGACACCCCAGGCCGGGTTCTCCGTGGTCTTTTTTCTTCGCCTCGCCCAGGCTCTCCCCCTCCGCCACTCCAGGATTGGAAGCTTGGCGCCTTGCCTCGCCCCCCCTCCAAAGTGCAATCAGACGACGCTTGCACTGTTTCTTTCATCCCCAGCGCTTTGACCAGGCACAGCATCATCTCTTAGTCACACCCTCCTTCCCTCATTCGCCCCCTTTGGTTTTCCGTCACTCTCCGCGATCGCACCTCTCGCCACCCCACACCACTCCCTGCCAGCTCGCTCCCAGCTGTCACTTTCGTCTCGTTGCCGGCAATTCTCGGAGTTGGCTGCCTGACCCCTTTGCCACTCGATTCGACCCCCCGGGAAAGAGTCATCCAACACCTCACTGGGCCAGCCTAAGGCCCGAGACCCCAACAGTTGGACAACCCCCCCCAGGCTCCGACTTCGTCACACGCCTACCCAGCTGGCCTTGTCGCCATTTGCCTTCCGCCTTCGCCCCTCTGGCCACGTTAAGCAAAGCACGCGGCCGACAAAAGGAAGAGTCACATCTCGACTCACCTGCTCAGATAAAGTCGCGCTTGCAACCATCAGCCACACCCTGATCGTGACTTGCATATACGCCGCTCAACATCGTTGTCGCCCTCCACCTCCAGCCCTCCATCGTCGACATCCTCAGCATCACCACTCCTCCACCAACACTCTCACCCCTCCGCCTCTGATCATATGGTCTCTCTGCAGTAGCACCCATATAATCAGCCCTCTCTCCTTCAACCCGCTTTAAGGTTTTTGGGGAATCGCCAGTCATGCTGTTTGACACCACTATTTTCACCACTCCAGTCGTCCGCCTCGTCTCTTCCGGTTTGATTCTCCGTGTCTCGTCTGCCACAGACTCTCGCGTCTAAAGCTTTCGCTCCATACCAACTCGTCTTGGATCCTGCAGCTGCATTCACGCGCTACTGCAAGACCCGCATCCCCCCCTCGGTATTACGACACACGGCAACCACGGTTTCAAATCGGTCGAACGCTTGACGACGACTGGAAGTGCTGCTTGCGCTCAAACATTACTAGTCTTCTTCGAATCCGACCTCAACGCTCCCCTCCCACCCCCGCGCTCACCTCGATCGAAAATGAAGTGCTTCGATAATGATTCGTCGGCCTTCATGACCTCTTCCTCCTACCTCAACAACCCATACAGCTCCTCCCTCGACTCCGCCTCGTCCGCTCGGGTCTGGTCTGCGGCGTCGTCGCAGTCCTCCACCGATACTTCCCCCAACACCTCTTCCGACTCGGACTCATGCGACGCGTATCCTGCCACACGCCGCTCCGTCGCATGCGACCAAGCACCGCTTGCTATTCCGGCCGAGTTGCGCCAGAACCCCCGGCGATCCAACGGCTCCGATTCCAGAGCACCCCCCGCACTCGTCCGCCAAAGCGACCGCAAAGTCAACTTTGTGGACACACTTGTTGGTAAGCTACCGTCACTGATCATGATCGTCTACGTCCCATGCTTAGACTTTGTGTCAATTCCAGATTCCTCTACACAGATCGTCGAAGCCATCTGGCCACTTTCGTCGGTCATCTGCCACAATGATATCGGCGGCAAGGCCGTTCTGCCCCTGCGCACCTTCATCCAGGAGACGCTCCGCAGATCGCGCACCAGCTACTCCACGCTCCAAGTCGCCCTGTACTATCTCATCCTGATCAAGCCCCACGTCCCAAAGCACGATTTTACCATGGAACAGCCGGACGACCGTCATGAGTGTCGTGCTCTTCAATGCGGCCGCCGCATGTTTCTCGCTGCTCTGATTCTCGCCTCCAAGTATCTTCAAGACCGCAACTATTCCGCCCGTGCCTGGAGCAAAATCTCCGGTCTCGCAACAAACGAGATCAATCAGAACGAGTTGGCTTTCATCTTTGCCGTCAACTGGGAGCTTCACATCACCGATGACGTTTTCCAGCGCTGGACCGATATCGTCCTGAAGTACACGCCTCCATCCCCGCCACCCCCAGGCTCACCTTCCGGACCTCTCTATGCCCAGCAGAGCGCCAACTGGAAGAAGGTCATTCTGCTCCTGAACCCTGGCCTCGACAATGTCGGCGGACTCTTCCCTGCGGCATCGCTCAAGCTCAAGTCGCGACAGCATGCGGTGCCTTCGGGTGGCAACCTGCCTTCTACCCCATGCGACGCACCGATCCAAGGCCAAACGGCCACGGGCTCTGCTGATGCGACCCCGACTCCTCGATCCTACGTCGCCCCCCACACGATGGAGCCCGTGCCCGCTTCCACGTATACGCCTGGCCGCCATGTCCCTGCGCTTGGTCTCCTGCCCACGCCTCGCATGACCCCCCAACTGGCTGGACAAAGCACTCCTGCCGTGAGTGCTGCGTCTTGTCTCCTGGGCAGGGGCTCGGCGATGGGTCTGGCCATGGCTCAAGCCTCCAACGCCTGCGCAGCTCAGAGCCTCGACAGGTGGCAAGTCCCCGTCACTTCCTCTCCGCACGTTGCTCTCCCCGTCCGCCGCACTTCCTTGGCCATCTCGGTGTCCACTGCTTCATCTCCCGAATCCATGGTGTCTGATTCTTCTCGGACCTCACGCTCGTCTTCCATATCCTCTGCATCGTCGCTCGCTAGCGCGCCAGCCCAGAAAATGGGCGTTTCGGCGCGATTCCGCAGCGCGAAGCTAAGTTGTGAGAGACTGGGTCCGAGGCCAGCAATCACATCTGTTCCGGAGGATTTTGAAGACAACTACCTGCCGTCCTCGCAGGAGTCCTACAACGGCCCTGTCGGCAAGCTCGAGGGCATGGCACTGGAGGGTATGAGCTGCAGTTCGGAAAATGATGCTGCCAGGGCTCTGCAGGCACTTCAAGGCTATCAATACCCTGCGGTCGCGACGCCCGTCGGATGCTTGTCGCGCAAGCGAAGCAGGGACCTTCTTGAGAAATCCTCGCTCCAGGAAAATGTCCGCGAGATGCTGGCTCGTTCGGAGCTCACTTGGTCAAACTCACTGAGCAGACCTCATACGGGCATGGTCCCTGAGGCATCGGTGGAACGCGGGTCTCCGAGGAAGCGCGTGTGCTGCGCTACCGAAGCAGCCCGCAGTTCGGTTGCCACGAACTCGTATTTCGCTCTCGGTGGCTACCGCGGCCCCGGCATGTGGGAGGGCATCCTCAACTAAAACAAAAAAAAATCAGGTTGGTTTGTCTCCAATGTCATGGACTTGCCAGCTTTTTTTTTCTTGGTTCGCACACCACAACTTGATACACCTGGTGTACAATGTCTTTGCTTTTTTTTTGTACCGAACGAACTCGGGCAGGAATGGAAAGGAGCATATGATACCCCCTCCTTGACAAAGTCCGACCGAAGCTCATCGACGACTTGCATGGCGTCAGAGGCAGGACAAAACGCGGTAATTATGCATATTCAGGAGCCGGGAACATGGTAGGCGGCGGTGTGGTGGTTTCAGCATGCATGTCGCTCTCGCTTCTGTACGATCACAAGGGGAGAAGAAAGAGGGAGTAATTCTTGTTTTTCGTTTTTGTTTCTTGTTGGTTTTACGGTGACGGAGCTACGGTGGTGGAGGCAAATGAAATGAAGCTATGTATAGTGCTGCGAGACGAAACTCTTCGAACGGCATGAAGCTGGAGAAGGGACAGCGAGTCGGCCCTGGAGGTTCTTTTCCCGAAACGGCGGACGCTCCAGGGCAAGCGACCTGCGTGTTACGCATGACACGCCTGAGGCCGTTGAAAAGCGACAATTGGCAGAGGCAACTCTGGCAATCATCAACCAGCAAAAACGCAATGATGCTGTGCGGACCTAGGGAAAGACAAAACACTGATAACGAGCAGAGAGACAACAGCCATGACGCGGCTGCATTTGTGCACGAGCGATGAAGCTATAGTCGAGAGATGTATAGCTAGCCTTGGCAACCAATTCATACGCACGACGCAGACCACCTGCGCTATCCACACCGAAATCTGAGATGAGATGATCACTTAAGTGCTGCTTTCTGCAACAAAATGCTTTGACGAGTACCAGATGAGGGCCTGGGCATATCACGATATATCACGGTCTCGCGAGTTGGGCATAAGTTGGGTATGAGGGGCTTGGACCAGCTATCATCCTACCTCAGCCCCCTTTCCTGTGTTCGGCATGGTGCCTTGTCCTTGTGACTCACACCGATATAATAGGCATGACACATCCAATAGCACTTCACCTCACTCCTCATAGTGTGGCGTCTCGTATAAAACGGGCCTTGACAGTTGCTTCGATTCGGAGCTATCGATTGTGCGTGTCTGCGAAGCGCTTCACCAGTGAAGCGCGTCACCCACAGGCTCGAGACGTGCTGGCCACAGGGTCGATATCACCCGCAGACGAGAGGATGCGTGAATCGAGAACTGTACCTTTCTGTCCCCTCAATTTCTTCCGACTCCGTCTTGCACCACTCGGCTAGGAGGAGGCCTGGAGCTGACTGGATGGTTGACTTGGCGCAGGCTTCCAATTCGCACCTGACCGTTCACCGTTTGTCAAGACGGGAAGTCAGACAGGAGACTTTAGATGGCTGACTGAGTGCTACAGGGAGTGGAAAATGCTGCATTGCGCACACGTTGAGGGTACTGACTTGGAACTAAGCGCAGAATTATCGAGGCTGTCGATTTGGTCACTCATAGCAACCCATCGTGACCACTCACGGTATCAGAGCATCATCAGCCACCACGTGGGGAAGCGTTTGCCATCGAAGAACCTGAAGCGGAAACCTATGACGGGCAATCCTGCCTATTCGATAACATGCCAACAGGCAATGTCGGTTCAGCCTCGCTTGGCTCATCTTCCTTGACAAATGACACACCGTGTCGTGACACGTTCCCACACCCTGCTCTGTTATTCGGTCAGGGAGTAGAATTGAACTTCTGCGATCATGGTCCTCGCTGGGATGGTCACGCAGATGGGGAACCCGCCATAGTCTGGATCCTCGTTGGGCATCAGTGCCATTTGTCCGCTCCTCGTCTCATCTCCGTTAAGCACCCGCGCCGTCCTGAGCTGACCCGTCGCCTCGTTGACAACCTTCTTCTCCTCGAATCGCAAGATTCCGGTGAATACGCTGTCCTCGGCCACAGCCTTGGCCGACACCTGGAAACCCCAGCCAATGAGCAGAAACTTGCCACCGCCGCGATGAATGACCATGCCGGCGCCGGGGCCAGGTCTGCCGAAGACGAAGGCCCGTTCAATAGTGATGTGGAATCCGCCCCATGTGCGGCGTACAAGGGGGCTCGTGTCTTTTGCAGTTGGGACTGAGGGGACCTCGTCGAAGAAAAAGCCAACCGAGGTGTCCCTTCGACGCTGAGCGTCAAGCACAATGACCGAAGTCGACTTGAGGAGGCCAAAATGCTTGGTGAAGGGGTTCGTGCCAGGCTCGAGCGTGTCGATGCCAAAAGGCGAAACACCCATGGCAGCGAAAGTACCGTAGGCGGCCCAGATACGGCGCGCCCCGTAGTCGTCTCGCCGCTGCTCAGGTATGAAGAGGGGCTGGTTCGGTGGCGATACTTTTCGCACGAGCTTGCGTAGTCGGTGAGGTAGACGTCGGGTGCAATGAAGTCGAGGCGAGGCGCAAACTTGATCCAAACGTCCAACACGTTGGAGCACGCACCGCCTGGTGGATAGTCGCCGGGGGAACCGCCTCCACCAACGACGATGGGAAAATCGTTGTCCGAATCCTCGCCGGCATAGTTCAGCCACACGTTTGTGTATAGGGGTATGTCATACTCGGCCTTGCCGGCCGCTGCCACGTCGTTGAGATACTTGGCGTAGTGGTATGCCATGAAGAGCTCATCCGTACGTGGGCTGGTGCCAAAGATGGTTTCCCAGTTGCCGTCTTCCGGCACTGATTCGGGGTCAAAGTGGCTCAGGTTTGTCTTCTTCATGTCCGCGTGCAGGTTGTCCCAGTCCGAAACGAGATGTTGGACAAGATCCTGGGGAACAGCCTTGCTGAAGGCCTCGTTGGCGACGTCAGATCCGTCCCTCGAGTCGCCGAGCAGGCCTGTCTCGTTCTCGACCTGGACCATGATGACGGTCGAGTGGGCCTCATCAAACGCTTTCAAGTGAGACATCAACGTCCCGAAGGCCCTGGCGTCCGCCTGGCGCACTTCGGGGTGGAAGATGGAAACGACATCAGCTGTGCATAGGCGTCCACCGGCCTTCCTCAGCTTGGCGCGGGGGAAGCGCCTTGCATTCGTCTTGACCCATCCGGGGGTGTACGTGGAGAGGCCTTCGGGCACGTGGTGTAAGTAGCACTCTCTGCAAGCGAAACAAGGACCGGCTACGCACCGTTTTTGAACGAACCAAACCACAGCAGGATCAAATGCAGACCGTGCTTGCGGGCACCTTCGATCACTCTGTCCAGCTCCGCAAAGTCAAAACGGTCCTCTTCGGGCTCGATATCTTCCCATGCCACGCAGCCCAGCAGCGTATTGACGTTCGCATCAACCATCTGCTGCCAGACAGTGCTCATGTACTCGGCGGAGGTGAGCGAAGAATTTTGCAGCTCGCCCCCTCGTATGAGAAAGGGCTTTCCCTTGACGATGAGCTGCTTCGACCATTCCGTATCAACAAGATGCGGTGTCTGCAGGTTGTTGGTAGCCATGTTGGCGATGTGATGGAAATCTGGGACCCAGGCGGAGGTTGCTGGATATCCGCGAGAGCGACCTGCCAACGACTAGTGACGGACCTCGGAAACAACTGCAACGAGACTCCTCAAGCTATATGAACAAAAAAGGGCCGTCTGACGTCCGAACGGACACACGGAGGCTCGGACGCTTGTGGTCGATCGGTGGTCACCCCGCGCGAGCTCGGGGCTCCATGCCGTGTCATTGGCTGGCACGCTGTTCTTCGCCAGGTCCGTCATCAACTGAACGTAGACCTGCGGACGGCGGCTGTTGAGCCCGTATTTGCAGCTCATGCGCTCCAATCACATGGTTTGTGTGCTTGCGTGTTCCTGGCAACGCATGCTCAGCGAGCCGTGGCAGGCTGCAATAAGCCTCGAACAGGCGAGTCGCAGATTGGACGTCGTGTGCTGCTGACATCTGGAACATGGCCTACAGTTGAAGGACAGCAACATGAGTGGAAAGCCCCACGAATGTGTAGTCGTCCTACAGAAGCGAAGTGTTATGGTAATGCTGTAAATCAGATTCCCGATGAGATGATAGTCTCTCGCTCCATACGCAACTTCCCATACAGGGGTCGTGGCGCAGTGGTAGCGCGTCTGTTTTGCATTCAATCGAATTTACAGAAGGTCCCGTGTTCAATCCGCGGCGGCTCCACTTTTGCCATTTCTCGACAGCTTCGCAACAGGGCTTAAGCTGTAATGTCACTGCCCGCTGTTCATTGCTTTTGCATGTTCAGTTCTAGCAATGGCCGAGACGCCAACGTGAGCTAGGAGTGCAGTACCATACATACTCTTTCGGTTCGCGTCGACTTGTCCTGGCATTGGCATCTAGCCGGTAACGCCGACCCGACAGGTCAACGGGGCGAGGTACCCGGAAATCAGTCTCCGTGCCCACCCACGCATCGGGCTTTCTCATCCATATCATAAACGCCATCACATCCCCTGGAAGCATCATGCCAGACCCTCATCTCGACATCACGGCCTCGCTCCCCGCTTGGAACCGTTTGAACAATGTCGAACTCATCGATGTCATTCCGAAGGAGATCCCCCAAAGTGGCTTCGGGTTCGTTGCCGACCGCGCTCTGAGCCGCGCCGAGGAGGCCCTGGACTCGCCAGCATTGGCAAGGATCCCACGTGGACTGGTCTTGTCCAAAGAAGCCGTCGACGATCACGCCAAGGTCGATGGACACTTCCGAGTCCTGCTGGACGCCGTGGGCCGCAAGGTGCGTTGCGCGAACCCCGGTCCCCGCGACTCGTCACTGGCTTTGGCAATCCGGCTGATATAGGGCTGCAGTCCACCAGAGGAGACGCTTGTCTGTTCCTCCTGGTGCAGAAGGTCTTGGCCGCTCATCCGCAGTCCGGCGTCGTTTCAACACCATGGACAGAGTACGCCAAGTTCTTGCCCCGTGAAGTCCCCGTCCCGACCATGTGGTCGGAGCAGGAGCGGGATTTCCTTCAGGGGACGTCTTTAGAGGTAGGTGGTGAACGAATCCCTTTTCTCGTAGCCACTTGATCACGCACGACCTCGTCCTCCTTTCGCCCTGATCTGTCTAGCCGACCAAACATCCTCTGACCCGCTCCAGCTTGCCGTGAGCGCGAAGATCCAGGCTCTGACCAACGAGTTTGAGGCCCTGCGAGAGAAATCGTCCGATCTCCCCTTCTGGAACGCCATCTTCTGGGACAAGAACAATGTCAGCTTGGCCGATTGGTTCCTCGTCGATGCATGGTACCGCTCGCGCAGCCTCGAGCTGCCCGGCGCCGGCGTGTCCATGGTCCCGGTCCTCGACCTGGCGAACCACGCCCCCACGCCCAACGCCTACTACGAGGAGAGCGCGAGGCGCGAGGGCGACGTTGAGCTGCTGCTGCGGCCCGGCAGCACGCTCGCTGCGGGGGATGAGGTGACCATATCGTACGGCGCGGGGAAATCCGGGGCAGAGATGCTCTTCAGCTACGGCTTCATCGACCCCGCACGATCCACGGACACCGTCGCCTTACCGCTGGCGCCCCTGGAGGACGACCCTCTGGGCAAGGCAAAGGTCCACATCTTTGACGGGCCGAGGACTGTCGAGCTCACCCGGACGAGCGGCGGTGCCGTGACGTGGAAGAGCCCGTTCGCGTGGCTCGCGTGTCTCAACGAAGAGGACGGCCTGGCGTTCGCGATCCTGCAGGACGTCGGAGGAGGTCGGGACCTAGGGGTCTTCTGGCAGGACAACGATGTGACGGCGCGGGCAGACGATTGGGAGACACTTGTCCGTGACCATCCGCAGTACAAGATCTTCAGACTACGCGTCGTGGCCGTCCTCGAGGACCGCGTGGCTTCGCAGCTCGAACGCATGCAGACGATGGAGCTTGACCCCCGCGACGCACCACCAGGCGAGTCACACAGCATTCACACTGGGTGTCTTGATGCCGCCACAACTCTGAGGGAACAAGAGGCTAGTGTTTTGCAGGCGGCTGCGCGAGCCCTCGAAGTAGAGGTACGTCCTGTTGCTTCTTTTCCCTCCCCCGCATCTTCCCTGGCCGGCATCGGTTCCATTTGCCTTCAGCGTCCTGCTGCGCAAATACATACCGCTGCGATGGTCTTTTTCTCGTGTCAGACGTATCACTGTCTTTCTGATATTCCCCCACTGTTCCTCGCACCGATCCTGTCAAAGCTCGTCCTGGCCTCTTTTGCCCGCCCTGTGACAAGAGGATCAGGATGAGAAAAGTTTTGTCGCAGTGATTGGACCGCCACAAGCTGACAGTACACAGAGAGGCGAGCTCCTCGCTGACGATTCGGTACTGGCGTATCTCGGATCGATGGAGATTTCCCAAAACGAACAAGTGGAAGAAACGGCGTCCAATGACAGCGACGACTTCAGTTGATGGACGGAACGCCATGTGCACGGGACGATCACGGGCATACTCGCTTCGCCCCCCAAATAGAGGCTGAAATCTGGAGCGGCGAGGGCATTTGCGCCGTGGCTTCCGGAATGCCAACATCAGTCTGGGTTCTGGAGTGGCATGATGCGTCTCGGATAGGGTGGAAGCTTCCCTGGCGGGATGGTGATGGGGACTGGGGTCCCCAGGCAGCCCTGCTTCCGTTCAATCGCACGGTATTCTGACTACTCCTGGATGACTCTCTGGCGGCGAGTCATGGTGTACTGGATGACCGTCTCCTGGTGATGGAGAGGCCTGAGATAGTTGCACAATACGTCTGTCTATTCGATATCCTTTCACACCGAGATCCAAGCCGTCAAAACTATCAAGCTTCTTCACGCACAGCTTTCTGGTTTCTTCCGCGTGTGGCAATGACTCCTTACTGACGTTTTTCGTAGATCATTGCTGGGGCGCCGCCTAGCTCCTTATTTGCCCAAAATTTGCCAAGGAGATCATGTTGCATCGCGTGTTCAGTTCGGGGAACGATGTGCGGGGAACCCTACTGACCTGAAGAGGCCACTCTAGCACTTTGGCACTCTCACCGCACACAGTCACAACTTTTGGCGATCGTGCCCATTCCGGTCAGCAAGCATTGTAGGAAACGAATTTCGAGTAAAGTCCTCAGACGCATTGTTGCACCATGTTGTAAATCAATGAAGCTAGAACAATATTCGAAGAACAGTAGAAAGGCGTGACCAAGCTGTTCTCGGGCAGCAGCTGAGATTCACCTCTTCGGTTCCGTGGAAGATTGGCTTCTGTGGCGCACTGGGGGATCAATCCGCCTCGAACATGGTGGCAGCCCATGCTCTTAGCGCCAGCCCCGGAAGATTCGTTTGGAAGCATCGCTGCACCTCGATACTTGACCCCCTCAGAATGAATGACCAGAACGGTTTGATAATGATGATGATGAGGGAGCCAGACTATCGGGATCCTGGGCGGATCACAGAGACGAATGTCGTGGGACGAATGCCCAGCGCTTATGTCATTGTGATGACAGCGGCAACAGGTAGCACGACAACGGCTGTCGCGCGAGCTGTACGTCGGGGGCCAGCATCGGGATATGCCGTCGTCACGGTACAGGCCAAGCACAGAGCGTGCCGCAATGCGCGTGCAGGCGACCACGACAGGACCGCACAAATGCGTCGGCCAAGGCGAAAGGTGAGAGGCCGTGGAGCAGGGATCGGCCGACGCGGCGAGCGATCTGAACCATTTCGAATGCACCACTACACCAACAAACACTGCCCCAAGGCTACGGTCTCTGGGCGCGCCGGCTGCTGGCTGTCGTTGATGAAACCGCAGGATGATCCTCGTCAGACCTTCACAGCCAAGCTGGGGAAAACATGGGGAACCGGGGCCTTGACGAAGCGAGCAGGATTCTCGAGAATGAGGCCTAGGGCAGTTTGGGACTTTTCCACCACCGGCACCTCCAGATACGGTGGGGCCATTTGTGCCTCGCCGTCGACCCATGGCTTGAGGCTGGAGCGACCCTTTTCCTCACCCAAGCTCGGCAGATATGCTTCGTTTGGTGATCAAGTGTCAACCTGATGGCAGCCGAATTTCTTGGGGCCTTTCGTTCGTATCCCGGCGGGACATGGGCAGCAGCGGGAAAGTCGGCAGGACGGCACGATCTTTGGCCAGGTTCCAGGGTCGTCGAATAGGTGGTTTGGAATTTTGTGTTGGGCGGATTGTGTTGGTGCAGGTATCGGAAAATGTAGCTTGCTACACACTTGTTCTGCAGACGGGAAGGGGAAAGCACCTCCCTGGCCTACCTGCCTTGCCAAGATACCTTGTACTTGCTTTCGTGTTGCTGCAGGGAAGGCACAACTAGGAGACTCGTGAGGGCGCGTTCCGTGGTTGCGTGTAACCACAAGTAGAGGTGACTGGCCAGTGGTCCCTTGTTGGCCCCATTCGCCTCCCCCCGGTCTGCACTTGGGAGAAGCACACCACCTCGGTGGGGCATCAGCGACGAAGCAGGGGTATCGAGAGCCAATGGCACCCTGATGATTGGCAGCAGCAGAAGGGGCTACCCTCCCCGCGCTCTCCTCCTTCTTGCCCCAGATTCCGCTCCTCTGGTCACCCCTCTCTTCGTGCTCAACCTTCTAGCCCGGGAAGTCCCTGTGGAGCCACCCCTCCCCTGCCCACGCTACCTTACCTACCTACCTACAGTACAGTGCGTCCTGTGCCTGCCTTACTTCCCTTTGAGTCGCGGCACCAGGGCTAGCTCCAGCGTCCGCTGCAGGGCCGCTGAGTCGCCCACCCCCCGGTTTCGGGTCCCAGGCACTGTCCTCCCCTAAACTCCACCCCAGCCCACTCACCGCACGCTGGTCTTCTTCACGCCTCGTCTTGTCGACATCATCCACCTCCTCTCTCACTCTTTCCCCTCAACACATACCCCCCCTCCTCACCCTTTCCCTCACGACTGAAAATATCCACTCCGCTGTAATATTCCGCTGGACGACACAATCTTGAAACAAAAATTTACTGAACTGAGCCGCGAACACGATCGCCACTTGTGTTACAAGTCGACTCGAACCGACTAGAGAGACGACACGCACGCACCTGGTCCGCAACACCCGCGCATTGGACAGACAGCTCACACCCCGATACGCCTTTCACGCGACACGAATTCTTGGTTCTGGACGCTGCCCACGCTCCGACTAGTTGGGCTGGGAAATTCCGACACTCCGGTCAGAGGCACAAAGCCAGCCTTACGACAGTTTTAGACTCCAGAAACCC